TAGTTTTTTGTATTAAATACGTTTTAAAATTTTAAAAACTATCTTCAAAAACTACACAAAAACTACGTTAAAAACTACCTACAAAAATACAGTAAAACATAAACAATTTAGACTTTAAACAAAAATCAAGCAAATTCTTATCATGGAAGTATATGAAGTTATATTATATTTGTATAAGTTAAACAACTTCAGAAAAAAAGGCAATTTTTTTTTTCAACAAAAGTGTATTTTCTACGAAATACAAAGTAACATTGAACACAAAATAAACTATAAATTCTTATGGAGAAATTCTTCATAGACATTCTCCAGGAGAATATATGATTCCCAGAAGGTATGGAGCAAGGTATGGAGACATCGACGTCTTCCAAGCATTTTTAACTACTAAGTATCAAAAATATCACATAATAAGGAACAAATTCACAAAATATAGATTTTTTATTTCTTTAAATTGATCAACAAACAAAGTTTTTAGGTTATGTTTTCACTGTTATTTAAAAAACTACATTAGTTACATAAACTACACATTTACTACTCGGCATTTAAAAAACTACTTGTGACATGTAGTAAATGTAGTTTATTAATTACTACGTGTAGTTTAACAACTCTGGGGAATACCGCCGACACCCTTCGTGAAGCCCTAAAACAATCACTTCCACCGATAACCTCAATCTCGGAAGCTGAACAAGGGTGGACACAATTCAGGGATGCGATTTATAATACTAGCGAAGCAGTACTGGGAAAATTCAATAAAAATAAACAAGCAGACTGGTTTAACGAAAATCAACCGCATATACAGGCTTTATTGGAACAAAAGCATAGAGCACATCACTCAGTCACTGTAAATCCACACAATCTAACGCTGGCGGACAACTTTAAAGCAGCCAACAAAACGCTTCGAAGAAACCTGCTCAATCTAAAGGATAACTGGTGGTCGTAAAAAGCTAATCAGATTCAAGAATACGCCGTGCATCAAGACTATCCTAAGTTCTTTGAGGCTGTAATCCGTCAGTCATCAATCATGAGTCAGTGGGAGGAAGCAGCGCATAATAGAACGCAATGAAGAAGAGTTATAAACACAGTTAACAACGACAACCAAGAAGTAAAGAGGCAACAAAGTAATGAGATTTTTGAATGTCCGGAGTGCGGAAGAGAGATAACATCACCTATCGGGCTTTTCAGTTACAGAAAAGCTCATGAAAGAAAAGGCATTGCGTAACCATCTTCTGTTGCGTGTCAAATATTCGTCAGCGAGTAATAGCAGTAAGTATTGGTTTATAATTCACCATCTTTATGGTTTTGCATTTTTTAGTCTACCAGATGACGGATTAAAATCCAGTAATGTATCCAAAAATTCTCTCATTACTCTAACTAGACTATTGATACTATTTGCTGAACTTTGGCGTTACATAAGCTTTTTCTTTTGAATGAACTAATGGTGAGTGCTGTTTTAAAATAAAGGACTTCCTGATTGCCTAATCAAACGTTGACCGCTCATCAGGCTATCGACTATCGGACTAAATTGAGGTTAAATCCGATGGATATAAAACAATAACGCCACCTCGATGCGTCGGTCCAATTAGATAAATGCCGCTCGCCTACGACGCTAGTTAAACAATGGGCCACTAGAGGGAATTGCTGTTGCTATCTCGCGCACTCTATTTTTTCACAAAATACCGATTGCGGATTGAAAGCGTCCGTTAACAATCCCTCATTCTCTGATCATTGTATCGAGTGCAGTTAATTTAGTGTAGAGCAGTCGTTTACGTGAGGATTTTCAGTTAATAGCTATGAGAAGTGTTTGGACCAGATAATCAAACCTTTTAAATTATTTTATTAGTGAACAATTTGATTTAATTGTCAAACAAAGTGTAACAACTTTTAATAATTGCGACAACTAATCATTTTACCATAAATTGCTGAAAAATATTGTAAATTATGCAAACCCTTGAAGAGGTTATAACCAGTAGCTGTTCCTCAATAAGTGGATATGTGCACGTGTACCTTCAATTTAATTCAATATTTCTTGAGAAAAAAAAACTAATTTAAATATTGTCTCAATAAATATTCTTTCATTAATTCTATTTATTTCAAATTCCAAAACGATTTTTTATGCGAAAATTCTAACAAATTCTAGAATTTATCAGTCGTTGTGATCGCTTCATTTAAATATAATTTAGAAATGACGATTTAAATAAAGCAATACTTCTTATTTCATTTCGATAACTTTTGTTATGGTATTGTATTTTTCAATATTTTTTTTTCATTTTCTTTTCATTTTTTCACAATTTATCATTTTAACATAATTTTTTGTCTGACGTAGGTATTTCTTCATCTTCTTCTTCTTCCTGTGCCTTGTGCTTAGCCGCATGTTGGCGATTGTCTGTACTCTTCATACAATGTGTAGACTGCCGTTTTCGGCTCTTCGAAATATGGTGGAATGTTGTTTTCTTCCTGGGCCTCGCCGTCCCTCTATTTTTCCTTGTAGAATCAGCTTAGGAATGTAATATTTGTCTCCTCTAAGGATATGTCCGAGGTATGAGACTTTCCTTTCTTTAACTATGTTAAGCATTTCTCGTTCATAGCCTGCAGTTCTTAAAACTTCTTCGTTGGTGGCATGTGCAGTCCATGGCACACGTAAGAGTCTCCGGAGAGTCCACATTTCGAAAGCCTCGATGCGGTTCAGGGTTCTAGCCTTGAGAGACTAGGTTTCTGCACCGTACAGTAAGATAGGCCATATGTAGCATTTTACTACCCGTAGTCTAAGTGTTAGCGGGAGACTGCGTGCTAATAGGAAGTTTTTAAGTTTAAAAAATGTTGACTTTGCATAATTCGTTCTAAGTTTAACTTCCTCATCGCAGTCCCATCGTTCATTGATCATGGCACCCAGATATTTAAATCGTGGAACTCGCTCTATAATATTTCCATCCACGGTCAATGCGGTGTTGATTGTAGGCCGGCGTCCTATTACCGTCTGGTCTTGGCAGCGTTGATTTTAAGACCGAAACGATTTCCCATGTCCCCTATCTTATTTATTATTTGCTGGAGATCCTCTAAAGTTGGTGCTAGTATTGCCGTATCATCTGCATATCTTATATTGTTAATTGGAACTCCGTCAATCTTAATTCCTCCACTTTCTCCTTCCAGGGCCATTTGAAATATCTTTTCGACGTATATATTAAAAAGTATTGGTGACAGTATACAGCCCTGGCGGACTCCTTGACACACATTGAAGGTGTCTGTGGATAAATTTTTGTTAACTCTTATCTCCGCGGTTTGGTTCCAATATAGTTCCTGTATGATTCTAATGTCTTTGGCGTCTATTCCTATCTCGAGCAGTCTGTTTAGGAGAATATCGTGTTTAACATTGTCGAAAGCCTTCTGATAATCTATGAAGCACACAAAAACATCTTGGCATTTCTTCATAACTTTTTTAATTTAATAATGTTGATTCCAAAGAGGAGTTATTATCTTCATTAAATATATAGTCATTTATTACTACAACTGTGTTTTCTTGTGTATGATGCCAGGCTTCCAACATTTTAAAATTTAGTAAGTTTAGTTAATTTTCTTACTTAAACTTCCTGCACGCAGTCTCCTGCTAGCACTTAGACTACAGGTAGTAAAATGCTACATATGACTCATTTTACTATAGGGTTCAGAAACGTGGTTTCTTAAGGCTAGAATCCTGAACCGCATCGAGGCTGTCGAAATGCGGTGCACGTGTGCCGTGGACCGCATATGCCACCAACGAAGAAGTTTTAAGAACTGCAGGCTATGAACGAAAAATGCTTAACATAGTTAAAGAAAGAAACGTTTCCTACCTCAGCCATATCCTTAGAGGAGACAAATATTACATTCCTAAACTAATTCTACAAGGAAAAATAGAGGGACGTCGAGGCCCAGGAAGAAAACAACATTCCTGGCTAAGAAACATACGGGATTGGTGTAACATCAGTGACGCAGCCACCATATTTCGAAGAGCCGAAAACGGCACTCTACACATTATTTGGAGAGTACAGACAACCGCCAACGTGCGGTTAAGCACAAGGCACAGGAAGAAGAAGAAGTTAATTTTAGTGAAATATTAACGAACCAACCACTGTTCTAACTGACAAAGAGCTGCCGTTCGCGACGTATAAAATAAAAAAAAATGTTACACACTTATTTTGGCGCCCAACGTGGGATATCATATTTTTAAACAAAACAAATTCTCTCAGTCGTTGTATGGCGAATATACATAATATGCCAATTCTACATGTGTTGTCATCTTTAGTGATATTTATTCTATTGTGTCGCCTGATTTAAGCTAAGTTTATGTTACTGCACATCGGGTTATAGATCTATTATCTGTCAATCTCAGAGATATAGAGGTGTAAAAAATAAGCCTCGATATGTGCGCATCCCAAAATTCTCATATGGCATGGGGGCCGCTATGTTCGCTCTTAGGGGTCTACAGGGAAGATCAATAAGTAATAATAACAGCTAATAACTTCTAATTTGATGAAGTTTAATTTCGTTTTCTTTGTAATATTTTTATTAGAGTTTTTTTAAGATTAGTTTGGCAAGTGTTCTAATTTTTTGTGATTATTTTGATCTTATAGATTAAGATAAACAGCTTGTTTATTCTGATCTGGTATTTTTTGATATTGTAATTGTAAAAATTTACTAATTAGTAGGCAGTTGGTTTATCAATTTTCGTTCGTTTAGCATTTTAATCATGGCTTGTTGAACTCTGAACTGAAAAAATAAAACCGAAAATAAAAATAAAATAAAATAACGAAATAAAATAACAAAAAATACGAAATTTTTGTTTGTTATCTTTCAAACAGAACAGATTATTTAGGTAAACATTAATTATTATTTAATTTTTATTAATTATTATTTATTTTAATTAATTATTATTTAATTATAATTAACTACTATTTCATTTTAATTGATTATTCGAAAATTATTATTATTTAATTACTTATATTATTTTAATAAAACCATATTTAACATAGGAGTGGGTTACGCAGTATGCCTGATCGACATCTACATGGGCATGTATTACAACACCATTATAGGTTGGGCAGTATATTACTTGGTTGCCAGTTTTACCGATGAACTACCATGGACCAAGTGTAACAACAACTGGAATACCATCGATTGTCGTCAAGTAACCTTCCTGTCAAATATGACCAATGCCAGCACACCTGCCAAAGAGTTTTTCGAGTAAGATATACAAAAATACTAAAAAAAAATATTTTAACAAGAATTTTATTAATCATTCAGAAAATTTTAGTATGTAATTTTAATTTAATTTTATTATTAAATTTTTTAAAAACAGTATTGGCTTGGAGATTCCTATAAACAACCGAACTTATACAAATACACGAGCTTAAAGAGCGAGTACACGAAACATTTGTTATAATTTTATTTGACAGCTATTAGTAAGTGTAATTTGTGAAAATTCTAAAAAAAATATTTATATTGAGAAGGTCTAACGTGAATTATAATTTATTATTCAAGCTAATAAAACGTTTTAGATGAGTAAAGCCTAATTTACACGTATCAAGTAGCTAAAGCCAGTTACTAAATTATTTACTAAATTTAGTGACCTGCATGCTGTAAACCACCCGATTTAGTACTTGCGCAAGTGGTCATCTCCACCTCTGTTTTTGAGCAACTAAAGTGCCGACTAATCAGGTGTAGACCAGCCAGTTTAGTCAAGTTCATTAGTAAAGACTACTAGCGTTTATTTCATTTGAATTATTAATAATTAATTTTGTCTCTTGAATAAGTTTGTAGAAAAATACCGTGGGAGACGATGCTTTTGGGATACAAGGGTTTTTATAGTTCAAGCTAAACAAGCTCGGGACTCGGGATACAGCGTATAAGGAAATTGAGGAGATCATGGGTATAGAAGGATTCGGATTTCATGAAATTAAAAACAAAATAAGGGCAATGATGTCAACTTATTGTCAAGAAAAAAGCATTTATGAAATCGGGAGCAGGTTCGAAGGATATTTATGTCCCAAGTGTAAAATCCCGTTTAAATCAACAACTAAACAACAATAAAAATTAAAATGTAGACGCTCACTAAAATGAACGGGCTAAATTTTAGCTACTTGATTTAGTAGTTTGCTTTAGCTACTTGATACGTATGCGGCTTTAAGCCAAATTATATTTCAAACATGTCCTTTAAATCCTTCAATTTAATAGTTGTTAGTAAGAAATTTTACTTCAAATATGTGCACACACAATTTTTTTTATATTTAATTTTTTGTTAATTTAATAGGAGAGAAGTTTTGGAGCAATACAAGTCTGACGGTTTGAACAGAATGGGGCCTATAAAACCAGCTCTGGCACTGTGTGTGTTTGCTGTCTTCGTACTGGTGTATTTTTCATTGTGGAAAGGTGTTAAAAGCACTGGAAAGGTATTACATTTTATTTTGGCCAACTAATTTAAATGTTATTTTCAGTTTTGTGTTATAATTTACCAAGCTTCATAAAACTCTATCTTATCTATTTTAGGCTGTTTGGGTTACTGCACTAGCACCTTACGTAGTCCTAATCATTCTGCTATGCAGAGGAGTGACATTACCAGGAGCAATGAACGGAATCAAGTATTACCTTACTCCAAATTGGACCAAACTCCTCGAAAGTAAAGTGTGGATAGATGCAGCTTCCCAGATCTTCTTTTCATTAGGTCCAGGTTTTGGAACGTTGCTCGCTTTATCCAGTTACAACAAATTCAACAATAACTGCTACAGGGATGCTCTTATTACCAGCAGCATAAATTGTTTGACTAGTTTTTTGGCTGGTTTCGTGATTTTTTCGGTGTTGGGGTATATGGCGCACGTGCAGCATAAGGACATCGATAAGGTTGGATTAGAAGGTAAGGTTTTTTTTTATTTAAATGGCATCTTGTTATATGTAGAGGTGAGAATTCTAGTTCCTTGGGAGGAACTAGTTCCTTAGTTCTAGTTCCTCCAGAGGAATAGTTCCTTGAACCAGGTCTTTAGTTCACAATAGTTCCCGACTAACATTGACATCCCCGTATCCTGCTAATGGGTTTCGTTGTCAGTCAGAACTATTTACAGTATGATCTGTATAGTTTTTATAATGTACGAAATAAAACGAGACGTGTAATTGTGTATGTTAAAAACATATACCTAGGTAAGTTTTATTGCAGATAAAAAAATAAAAAAGAAACTCAAATCAGAGTTTAAAAAACTATATCACGAATCAATTGGAGCAAATATTACGAAAATTTTACAAAAAATTGTATTTTTCCTCACTTTTTGTTTTTTGTTTTTGTCTAAAAAATCAGAATATTCGTTTTATAATATATTTCTTAATTTTAGGGACCTAAAGTGAAACATTCCCATAAAATATTTAAAGAACAAACTAAAAATCAAAAACAGTATCCACGTCAATTTTCTGTGGTAATAACGCCGGCGCCGGCTTTGGCAATTGTCGCGTCGAAAAAACTACCCGTCTTAACAACACGTCTCCTTGGAAATAAAAGCCGTATTTATTTACATATATACAACCTTTATTAAATACTGAGCTTACTTGCAACTAATAATAAACAAAATCCACGAATAAATGATTAATTAAGAAAGAGAATGGAAAAGCGTAAATTATACAAAGCATCAATCGCGCTGTTGGATCCGTACGTAAATTGGTCTTTTATTTAGTTCTTCTAGTTCCGGATCCGATAACCTACGGCTGGCACTCCCCACTCCTGCCTAGCATCGATCGCGCTGGCTGATCCGGTACGTAAACTGGTTTTTTATTTAGTTCCTCTAGGTCCGGATCCGATAACATACGGCTGGTACTCCCCACTCCTGCCTAGCATCGGCTACGCGCTGGCCGATCCGTCGCCTTCGCTTATTATTATATATCGGTCACAGTCTCGATCCCGGAATAGATCCTGAGGAACTAGTTCTTTGAGAAACCAGGAACTAGTTGCTTTCATTCCGGGGTCGGAATAGTTCATTGAACTAGTTCGTTGACGAACCACACACCTCTGTCTTGTTATATGGTCTAAAGTAGCTCTAGTAGGCTTTTAAAATTTAAAGTTCTTTTTGGTTTATATTAATGAATATAAGAGGCGTCATTAGAGATTACATTTTACGTTGTTAGTTATAGCAGGGGTGGTTGAACTGTATTCCGGAAATTTTGTGGATATTCTGCAGATAAAGAAGTAAAAAATTTTACAAAAAAATTGTATTTTTAACTCACCTCTTAAGCTTTTAGTTTCTGTGTCAAAAACTGGGTGGAAGTTTACTTTTTTATTTCGATTTTTCCAAATAATTTCTGGGGACGTCAATATTTGATAAAATTGGTGTCTGGTAGTTTGACATGAGAAATTTGATTTTGATGTCATTGAGACTCCTATTTGTTGAGGGCGCCAGCTACACGTGTTTTAACTGTTTTGAAGAGTAATAACTTTTTGTGCGTACCTGTATAGAACTACTGAGTGAAAAAATATACATTTTCGTAATGTAAAAAATATCCCTTGGTAAAAATCGTTATGAGCAACCCTTCTCGAGATATTTAGATTGGAAATAGTCAATACATGCCATTATTGACAAAAAAAAAATGTTGGGTAGATAGTTATTTGACTGAAATGATAAATTTGGGAAATTTTTATTTTTTTAAATTAATTATAAAATTTTCTTCGGAAAAATGATGATTGATGATGATTTGGCACAAAAACATATAAAATTTATGATTTCAGTATATTAACTATTTAGTCAAAATGTTTATAATTTATGTCAATGATGACAGGTATTGATAATTTCGATTTCAAATATTTCGAGAACTATTACACGTAGCGATTTTTATTAAGAGACCTTTTTTACGTTAAAAACATCGTAAATGCATATTTTTTTACTTAGTAGTTTTATACAAGTACGGACGAAAAGTTATTACTCTCCAGTTAGTCTACCAGTAAAAAATATGTAGGTGGCGCCCTCTACAAGTAGGAGGCATTTTGACATCAAATCCAAATTTCTCATATCAAAAAACTCCCAGACGCCAAATTTCATCTAAATATTGACGTTACTTCAGAAATGATTTAGAAAAAATCGAAATAAAAATGAAACTTCTACACCCTGTATCTCCGAAACTAAGCATTTTAGGACATACATTTATAAGATGTTTTTTATTTCTTTTTATCTGCAGAATATGCTGCCGAAGTTTCCGGAATACAGTTCGGACCACCCTGTATATTTACATACCGTTGTCCGGCAAAGTCAACAAACATTCTTCATGTAGCTTTTGCTTACTAACACCGGCTTTCTTTTACTGAAAAGTGCCTTACTGAAAAAAGACAGAACCGGATATTAAAAAGTGGTCTATAGGACGGGAATTCTCATTTGAGTAGTCGTACAGCCACAAGATAAACATCTAGATATTGAATAAACTTCAATAAACTGTAACTGTACAGGGTGTTCTATTTTCGTATATTTAATGTTTTTTTTTGTTTATGAGTAGAGCTACAAAGATGTGGGTTTTATGTAACTTTGCTACTTTTTTTTATGAAACTAAAGATGCCACAAACATATTTGCCCGAGCCCTCTTAGTTACTGAAATACAGGGCGAATTTGAAAATTTTGCATTTTTCGATTACCCTCGTATCTCGGGTATCCTATAGCTTATAGAAAAGTTGAAAACTGAGTTTCGTAGAGTTTTTCACGCAAAGTCTAGTGACGTAACTAGTTTTTCGCTGAGAGCTGTCGTTTTCGAAATATGACTTAAACTTATGTGCTTTTAAATGAGACTCCCTGTAGGTATATTATCTTTTTAATTTATTTGTTTTATAATGTGCTTTCGAAATTTATACTATAATCTACAGGGTTGTTCACCACATACGACACGGAGTATTGTAGCTAAACGATTAGATTTTTACAAATTGTAAGTTTTGGGTTCGTTAAAGGACTATTAGAGCTACAATTTAAAAATAATTATTAAGATAGAGAGGTCCCAAATAAGTAAAAAATATAATATTTATTTTTTAACAGAACGCCCCAAGGTTATTCATTTTAGATTCTACGGCTGAAATAAAGGCAAATTTGATCAAGGTCTATCACACTTAAACCTTACCGTTTTGAAATATTATCAATTTTGTGAAATTGCAGTAAAAATTTAAGGCTTAATTTGTCAAAGGTTATCAAAGTCCTAATACTAAATATTTACTGAAGATTATTTATTCATCAGATATTGTAATTCCGTTACAATATGGAAATAGATTGAAGTTTTGTGATTACAGTGATATATAATTTATATGGTTGTGTAACAAATTGCTCGCTATTTTATGGCAAATACTGAAGCCCTGCAAACCTTAATCAAGACTTAATCAAAGCGCGTGTGTTTGGAATTTTGGGCGTGGCTTAACACGACACGATCGGGCTTAGCCTTAGGGCAGATTTCTGAAATATAATATATATTTCCTTCGGCCACACACCCGTTTTACCCGACCCCTAAAACGACCCGAAAGTATAGCGTAATAGACTCTTAAGTAAAAAATTTCTGGAAATTTTTCCGAGTTCAGGAATATTTTGATAATTAATACTAAGTCGAAGAGGGATAATTTTCGAAAAATATTATGAGCGAAAAAAAAAGATTTTTTTAAATAAGAAAATATTTTTTATTTTTTTTTTGGCAAATACACCAGAAAAGTGTAGAAAATTTGGCTGAATAAAAAAGTAATGTATATGTTACACAATAAAACAAAGTGTTAATTAATAATTTGTTTCTTTTATTTATCCAGTAAATAAACTAATAAAAACTGTTTATTCGTTGCAGTGGCCTTCCATGGTCCAAACATCTTATAATTATTACATTTTTAGTATAATGCCGTCTCATGGCATTCTAGTGTCTGGACCCATCTGTAATCATCAAATAATTTCTTAAATTGGTCCATATTAATGAATCCTTCGTCCAAATTAAAATTCTCTAACACTAAGCGTGGGTCTAAAAGATTAAACTTTACCAATAAGATACTTAACATATTAATTACAATAAATTTTAGAAACCCCAGTTTTTTTTGATTGCTGTATAAAGAAATAAAAGGAAATGACATTATTATAACGACGCGGTATAACTTTTAATTGCATAGGGTGATCAAAAGGCGGTCGCGTAGGATTTCATATCCCGTCTTCAAGAGCTAGGCGGGCTCCGGGTTATCCGATAGCCGTCCAGCTGGTCATTGTAGTCTAATAATAATAAGGTTAAGTTTCGGGTCAGGTTTTGTTACGATATCGGCGTGTGGTGGCGGTGGGTCTGGGGAAAGGTTCGCTGATATTTCCCTCCTTGGAGGGTCGTGTTTGCTTTAACCTCGAACGTGTGTTTCTTTGGAGTTTCGGGCTCACGATGTCTCTAATAATAGTATGATAATATTTAGGTATAGATAGTTTTGTACTGAACACACAGAGTAGTTATGGACATGGTAATACAGGTGAAAAGGCATGAATTATTTTTCACTAGTGAAACCACAAGAGGTTAAATGTACATTTAACTAGTCCGAAAAAGTAGCAAAATAAGCGTTCGGCATTTAACGTTTTATGTAAAAATGCTGATGTTCCGCAAACCTTAATCAAGACTTAATCAAAGCGCGTGTATTTGGAATTTTGAGCGTGGCTTAAAACGACAGGATCGGGCTAAACCTTTCAGATTTCTGAAATTTAATATATATTTCCTTCGGCCACACACCCGTTTTACCCGACCCATAAGAGCGAAAGTACAGCGTAATAGACTCTTAAGTAAATTATTTCTGGAATTTTTTTCGAGTTCAGGAATATTTTGATAACTAATACCAAGTCGAAAAGGGATCATTTTCTAAAAATATTATGAGCGAAAAAAAAAAGATTTTTTTAAATAAGAAAA